ATAATAATAATAATAATAATAATAATAATAATAATAATAATAACAATAATAAAATAATAAAATAATGAAATAATAAAATAAAAATAATAATAATAATAATAGTAATAATAATAATAATAATAATAATAATAATAATAATAATAATAATAATAGTAATAATAATAATAATAATAACAAAATAATAATAATAATAGTAATAATAATAATAACAATAATAATAATAAGAATAATGATAGTAATAATCTGTACACATTTGCAATATTCGTTGTATTGGAATAGCAAAATAATATGTAGTAGTGTAATGTGTATTTGAAGCCAATATGAAGAAATAGTTCTTATCAATCAACAAATGATAGCTTTAACATGCATTTATTATTCATTTCAAATTGTCATTCCTTTTTTTTATATTCATCCAATTATTCGAAACAAATTCATTTCCGATTACGGTAAAAATCGAATTATTCATTCTTTTCCTCGATGAAATCATCGAATAATATAAGTTTTTTGAAAATTATTACAAATTATTTCAAGCAAAATCACTCTCTTAAGACAATATATTTTGTGAATTATGCATTATGCATTCAATCAGTTCATTCATTTCTTTTTCAAACTCTTTTCATTCTATTCTCCAGTGATTTATTTATTAGTACTAAAGTTTAATTGTGAAATATCCTGCCATTATTACTTCTCAAAATTCTATTTCCGGTATTAATTATCGCTCAATAGGTCAGCCTAAAAATTCTAATTTGTTCTAAAATATTAAACTTCATCAGATATCATCATAATGTTTGCTTTATCAGGTTTACAAAAGCTAACAGAAATGGCTAGAGAGAGCAGTATTAGACCGAAGTAAAATGATCGCCCTAGCAGATACCAATCAATTTAATTGTTACCGTACCATTTTTTTTCTGCTATACAACATATTGCTATCAGGTGAAGAGACTATAATAATTTTCTACGAAATAAATTCTTTTTCCCCAGGAAATCTTAGGAAGAGAGTTAGTACTGGATGAGAAAGAGAAAATTATATTCGTATTGACTTCTAAGATATAAAATATTGAAATAAAGATTGTTCCATTTGAAATGAAGCAAACCTGCTTTCGTACAAATTAATTTAATTTGAATTATTTTAATTTGATTTAAACCAAACAAAGTAATACAATTTCAGAATGAATTACGCATTTCCTAATTCAACATTTTGTAAACTTTACAATTAAACTAACCACTCATTTTCATCCATGGAAATACTGGTTGGCTAATTTGTACTGCTCGTTCACTACTTATCACCGGCAAATGTGACGTTGACGCTGGTTGTAAAGCATTATAGTTTGGAAATCTGTAAATTATAATGAAACTTTTAATGAAATCTGAATTACAACAATATTTATATTTCTGAAGAAAAGTTAAGAAACAGAAAGTGTTATGTTCAGAGTTTGTTGTGACGATTTGATCTGAACACGCCGATTAGAAGAAGAAAAAGTCTTTTCTCAAGGGAAAGATTAATGACCAAACTGCTGCTTTCTCTTAAGTCACTTCTCTGAATAGCAAAAGGTCGGATATTTATGCATATCCGCTTCTTCAATGCTTGCCTATGAAATCCTTTCAAGTAACATGAATCCTTTTTCCCGAAAAAATAAGCAATTCAAAAAGTTTCATCGAAATGATGACAAAAGTGACCAATACTCTGTCCCCACGATCCAATCAATTTCATTCCTAGTATTTTGTAAAAATACAAAACAAAATAATCGTATCATAAAATACAGCTAATAGATGAAAGTAATAGGTTGAGAGTATAGCATAAGCGAAAAGGATGACGGAGTAAGATGGGGGGCTTTCGATTGGTTATAGATAGACTGGACTGACTGGAAATGAGTCTATTGAATAAACTAAATTGATGGGAGGGTACCCACAGACCGTGACGACAAACGATGATAATAATGTGGCCTCGACGACGATAACGATAAATTACAATGATAATAATGATTGTTGTGACGATAATGACACGATGACAGCCAGATAACAATAACAATAACAAGACAGTAAGCTTTTTTTTTCCATGTCAAAAATAACAATTAAAAAAAACAATGTGACCTTCTCGGCTTCCTATCCTTTCAATTCTCTCCTTTTTTTTCCCCCGTTTCCTTGTCGTATTTTCCTATGCCATCGTTGATGTCCGGTGACTGGTCAAGTATACGATCGGTGTGTGTGTGTGTGTGCGTGTGTGTGTGTGTGTGTATGTGTGTCTGTGTATACATATATAAAGACAGAATTGAGAGAGAGGAATGATGTGGACGGCGGGAAAGGGTAAAGATGGGTAAAAAGGGGAGAAAGGGGAGGGAGAATTGAAGGAAATTGAAGAGTACATTCGGCCATTATCGTAAACGAGTCGTAAATCGAGCAATAAAATGTGAATTATATATGCAATATAAGAATGGGAAAATTCCAGATATACTGCACATGGATAGTCTATTAATAAAGAATAATCAGTGATATAAATGGGATCTGATGGCTAACAAATATAGATGACCTCATGATAACTTATTCTAGAATAGGTCATTATATAAAGTAAAGTTATAGAAATTATTGAAGATAATCATCGATCCATCCTATCCTTCAGCATATTCTTCATTAACATTCTTACAAAAAAAAATCATTGAATATGATTTAAGTGTAAATAAATGCAAAGAGAGGAGAGTATATGAAGAAGGTAATATGTTACAAGATAATGCATACTGTAAAATGCTAAAAGAAAGAGCAGCAGAATAATCAAATAACTGAAATACTCGATAAGTTAACTGATAAATTGAAATACTTTAAAAGTGTTAATTTTTAAATTAACATAGAATGGCTATAAAATCTATAAGAAAAAACTATAAATAAAGAAGAAAAAGAAGTGATAAGAGAAATAGTGAACAGTTCAACAGATCGTAAATATGCAATAAAAAATAAATTATGTACGTTTATATGGTACAATTTCACCATTAGGGTAACTCTACTTACATTTTCTTCATCCATCATCGGATGTCAACAAATAAATATATAAAGTTTCGAATACTAATTATTGATCTATTTTGTGGTCACAAACTATAAATAAATATAATCAATAAAAGCACTTTTTCTTTCTTTTTTTAGTAATTAATAATTAGTTTACTCATTACAACCTTTGAAAATAATATATTGCAATTTTCAAAGAGTACAATTACGCTTCGCTCGATTCTTTAAGCAATTTATAAAATATATTTAAATTTCGAAAAAAAGAATGTTAAAACAAGTGCTTCCTTAATTTCAAGTTTGATAATGCAAAATGTCGTTTGTAATCATACTAAATCGTTCAAGAGATCAGTTAAGGAATGATAATATATTTACAAGCAAATATCGCATATAAACGTATAACATAATTGTCGTATGATAAGCACTGATTTTTAAAATTCACTGATAATAGTCATACTGTATCGCAACACAATTTATAATTATTGTAGTTTAAAATTAGAATTACGACTAATTTTAAAGTTTTTTTTTTCATCAAGAACAGGTGTGAGAATATTTGAAAGTTTTTATATCTAAAAAATTTATTACTATATTTTAGATTTAAGAACTATTTACTAAAATAAATGCTTCATAATTTTTAAATTTGAAGATATTGTAGTATATTAATCTTACTAAATCGTTCGAAAGAACGAATCCATTGACAACATGTGATTGGGAAGTTACTTAATGAATTTAAATAATTTTTTATTTACAGTTAAATATTACAACAATATAATATAATGGTATGAAGTATTGTATGTACAATCACAACATTACTTCGCAATTCATCACATTCATCTTCTGCACGTTTATAATGAAGTTGTAATTTCGCTCAAATCATTAATCTAGATAAGTACTAAGTTGTCTTTTTTTTTCTATCACAATGATTTAATTATTTCGACTGTAAGAGTGACAAGAATGTTTAGCTGTATCTAATGACAGAGTTATTAGGACATTAGAAGAGAAGAAATTACAAAGTGTATTCTACAGACAATTATATTTTCTCAGATAATCCTTTGATTAGTAATATGTTAATTGACAATAATTTAATTTGGATGAAGCATTAGAGAAAGGCGGGTGACAGTTGAAACCAATCATTTTTCACTACTTCGATTTTAGGATTATAAAAAAAAGAAAAAAAAACCAGTTTACGGCAGTGCAACAACCGTCTATCGAAATATGTTTCATGATTTTTTTTTCTTTTGAAAATATGAAAACTGGAGAAAACGTAAAATTTTAATCATTTTTTAAAATTCTAAATATTTCACTGATGTTTGGTAGGATGAAAATGAAAAGTGTTCTACAAGAAATATTTAATTGATTTGCTAAAATGATCACAAAAGAAATTGTCGGGAAATTTTACAATTTTTTGTTAATGGTTGTACAATTTAAACTTTTAAAAATTTACTCATAAAATGTTGAGATCAAAACTGATTTTGCAGGATAAATACATAATAAAAAAGTGCAAAAGTCAAGCTTTTTCCTGAAATAATCAAAACTAAATGCGCAAAAGTTTCGATAACTTTAATGATAGCAAATTTAGCAATTTCCTATTTCTAATTCAATTCTTTCCATTCATTTTTCCAATATATTATGACTTATTTTCAACAAAAGGTTTTTGTTTGTTTTTCGATTACATGTAATTTGGAAAAAAAGGGAACCTCCTTAAATGACCTATTTCTATTAATGACTTCTATTAATGACATACGGAAATTAAATATATGACCAGGAAAGAAACTGTAAATCAGTTCCAGAAATCCATTCATTTTTATGAACCTAACAGTTTTCCACGTCATAAACAAGAAAATCATTCCTTCAGACTGAGCAGAAAAAAAAAGAAAAAGAAAAATGGAATTAGTTAGAGGTTAACCTAAAATAATATTGTTTAATAAGTAGTACTACTTGTAATTCTCGTATTATTATCATGATCAATTTATGATTGGCAAATGAGATAAGGTAGTGTAAGATGATGAATTTATATTACCAAACTATTTTAATTAAAAAAAAAAAAAAAAAAAAAAGACAAACAGGCAAAACTGTGAATGCTTTGGTTCGAACAAATTTAATCTTATAAAGATCTCAGCTAATACTTAGTCCAATAATTGTCATTTCCATGCATCAAATTGAAGTACTTACTGTTCAAGAGACAATTTCTCAAAGTGATGTGAATTTATGAAAAATGAAAAATACTGGGTCAAATAATTCACCAACATTTTGACAACTCAAATAAAAGTAATGAGAAGGTTAGATGACTTACGTGCTTGACGATTCAACCCATTGCGCAGCAGCTCCAAGCATATTCTTCATATTATTCATATAATTTTGGGCAGGATATAACAACGGATCATATGCTGCAGCTGCAACTGCAACTTTCTGATGCGTAGCTGCGGCACTGGCCGCCTGACTAACGTGTTGACTCCAGTAAGGCTGTACGGTAGGCGAATCATCGGGACTTTGCCAACTGGGATACATCGACGTAAACTACCGTATAATATATTATCCAGCCTGTAAAATTGCTATCCGTTTGGTGTAATATGTTTAGTGTGATCCACTAAGTCCGTAAGATACAAGATCGGAGAATTAACGAGCAAATGCATTTCATTTCATTAATGAGTGTCTGTTATCACATCAAGAGAAATAGGAGGATTAAGCAACAAAATGTCAACATTTATAACGGTAATTAATTATCTCTCATTAAATATCAATTTATACTTAATCTAAAGGAAAAAGAAAACTTTAGATATTGCTTATAATTATTCCTAAAATGTTGGTAAATATCGCTCTTTCAAATGTTTGTAGTTAATTTATATGTCAGAAACACAGAAGGAGAGGAAGGAGAGAGTTACAGGTGAGGTGGTATTAGTGAAGGTGACGAGAAAAAACTTGAAAGCATAAAAAGAAGTGATAAATTCTTGCTTGTTTTTACATGTTTATCAATTATTATAAAGTGTCTATTCTCCTTACGCCACCTTCCAATTATCATTTTCCTTCACGTTTCATCAATTGCCTCCGAAAATGGCGTCCTAAATCATTGACCAATGCAATAATGGGTAATTTAAAAGCAAATAACGGAATAAATTTCAATAAGGTGAAGTAATGGTACCATTTGTGAGGCACCTAATGATAATATAATACGGATGATGATGATGGGGCGTGCTATACTGCCTCTGCCGGGATGGTAGAGCAGGGCGGACTGCAGCATGCAGGGCTTCCTGCAACCCTGCAGGCAGCCCTGTCAATACATTCGTCCTCCGCCTCCTTGTCTCCTTCGTCGTTGTCGTTGTCGTCCTCGTCGTCGTGATGATCGGTCAGAGTAGTACGAGTCCTCCTCCCACTTCCTCCTCCTTTCCATCCCTCTATACCTCCGAGCATCTCCAGCTCGGTTTAACCCTCCTATACTCCTCCTTCATCCTCTCGATCGGTAAGATCAAAAGAACTCCGCCTCTACCCCGTCAACAGCCAATGAGGAAGGAGCCCAAAGGATGTGAGCGTCTTTGATGTATGCCGCCAACTGGCTCCTGAACCCATAAAACAATGTCGTAAATTTTTCTTGAGAGCTCGACTCGTCGAACTGGGATGATGAACTCTTCCTTCTTCTCATCTCCGATTAGCTGATACGTGCTTGATTTCCCAAGCAGTTCACGGATGGACGGCTCAACTTGGCTTGGCTCGGCCAGCCCTTTTACAGGGAAGGTTTCCGTATGAAAAATTCAACTTTTCAAAGGTGCGACCATTTACTCCATCTCTTTTCCTCCTACTCCCTTTGCCTTACCTACCTACCTACCTACTCATTACCTTGTCATTCTTTACGATACACCTCAACAAACCTGATTTCTGCTTCAACCTCCACATATGGTTGCTTTTTATCACCACGATTAATCTCTCTTTTTCTCCCTCTCTCTCTCTCTCTCCCATAACATTCGTATTTTCATTATCATCAATGCAATCAGTGCAGACTAAATAGCTTACTTTAACTTTGAACTGTTAACTTTTAAAGTTTCTTTTTCATTTCTTTTTTTTTCGAAGTGAAGTAGTATTATGAGGGAAAACAACTAGTCTATCTACTTGCAAGTTTCAATCATCAACACGGAAGGAATATCCCACTTGATCAGTCAGTTATCAGTGAAAAAATCGCCTCCCTCACTGGCAGATTAATGATTAACAGCTACTTCTGTAGAAAGTTAGAGGAAAATGATGATGAAATAAAGGAGAGAAAAGTACATTTTCACTTTCATCACTGATATCATTCCATATTGCCAATCACTGAACCAGGAAATAGCCAAATTTTGGCCCATTACCTATTCTCTTCCTTTCTATGAATCAATGAATCTTTGGCTCGTTCTTCTTCCTCATCATGATGACAACAATGGCGACAATCATTCCTGCTATCACAGCACGAAACCACCTATTAAACCCGTAATAAATACTATAATCTTAAAGGGAATCCCCTAATCTGAAAAGCGATAATTTACGACTTTTCCTTGCATTTCCATCGTCCTTTCCTTCTAAACTCACCGATAATAGCGACAAACATTCCGATTTGAGACGACTGCTCTAACATAAATTCGAGACAATCCATTCAAAGATAGTCATCCCAATATCTTCATATTTGTCACCTTTTTTGCTATCAAAATACCGGGATTCATCCCGTTCTGCTAGTGTCATACATGTATACATATACCGATATACACATATGGTAACACTACCATATTTCCTTCATTCAGACTGACTATTCATATGAATTGATAGTGACGGAATTGCATTTCCTTTCTTTACTTCTGCTGTCATTTCCATCGAACCGGAACGTTCACTGTGAACAGTAATGATGACTACAGTCAGTACGGTAATTAATTGCACTAATGATATTAGCAACATTTTACAGCACTAAAAATAACCCAATAACTTTTAAATCCCATGGAAACCAGGCTGTCACCTTCAAAAAACTGCGATTCAAAAAATCTGGCTCGTCATGCAAACTATACATTAATAATAGTATTCAATTCTTGATGGAAATTTAAATTTGATGGAATTAAAAATGACAACAGTTACGCGTACTTATGACGTTGCTACCTGGTTAGACTAGGAAATATGAAGGAATAAGTTCTTCATTCCTGAAATTCTAACAAACTTTAGAACTCTTCCAGATGAAATAATATATCTATGAAATATGGTTTAAATATTCTATATGATAGGAAAAGACCAATTTTTGAAGGCAAGTTACTGTAAAGGCGATCCCTTTGATTAGTAACATTATCATCTCTTAACAGCATACTTCAGTCAATAGTCAAAGGTCAAGCAACGAGGCACAACAATTTATATTTGCAAAGATACAATGTTTCCTAGTAATATTTTTCATTTAGGAAAATTACAAAAGATGTCATTCTGTCCAGATGTCATTACTATAATTTGCGCCATTTTACATACTTTACAGTTACAGCTGTCAAAATTACACCAAAAACATAATCCACCTAAATGTTTTGATGAAGCAATTCAGACGACAGCTCTAAAGGTACATCAATATGAGGTACCAAAGCTTATAGCTCATCAATTTTCCTACCATATTTGATTCCAAAATTTTCCTCTCATGTATCCGGAAAGAATTTGAAAAAAAAAACTGAATAATATATTGAATATGGATTTTCCATTTATCATCCTTGCCGGCGCATTTTCCCTATTTCACTAATGAGAACTTTATCATCACTGTGACATATCCTAGTTTGCCATTCAATATATTTCATCTTTTTTCACCATTTTTGGATTAAAAATTATCCATTAGTATTATCCTTATTTTCATTTATATTGATAAATCTTACTTTTAAATAACTTTATCCTATATATTATATTATGTTATACCTACCGTCCAATTTGCGCCAATCAATAAGGTAATTTCTATTCTAGTTTTAAGACTTGTCTTTTTAGTAAGACATGTTAATTAGTAAATTGAGCTAAAGTAAATTAAGTGTGCATCAAATGTAAATTTCAAAAAACATGAAATATCAGGCACAATCCTATTATGATAATTAAAAAAGTAACTCGTAGAAGAGTAGCTGGGTTGAATGACGAAAGATATAAACTTATGGTTGTTTTATCAGTCATAAGTCCCATATGTTATTAACTCAGTGATTAGTTTATTTACTTCTAGTATTAGCTAATAAAGATGGACAAGCATAGTGGTATATCGTAGTTTCAAAACTATTTAGAATATCAGCAATAAAGTAATCCTACAGGGAGGTATTTATGTTAAAATTATGACTTTGAGAAGAGTTAGATACGGTAACTTTGCTTAAATCAAAAGTTTACGACAATAAATAAACAAACAGACGAAAAGTTTGTCATTACTGGATGAAGTAAAAGTGAAGAAAAGTTTAGGTTAATTTAATTTGAACGGATGAAGTGAAGTGGGATAGAAATAAACTATAGAAGATTAAATATTATCAATCATTGGAAGATAAGAATGAGCTGATTAATAACAATGAACATTATAGGATATATTTAATGAATAATTAAGGGAAAGATATAATGAAATTAATTGCCAAAAAAATGAAATATTTGAAAGAATGATGAGGATTCAAACAAAAAATTAGTTAAATGAGAAGAAAACGAATTCAAAGGAACTCAAATGAACGAATAATTTTTTCAGAAGAAGTTTGGCTACCTTATCAGGGAATTTTTATTTAAAAACAAGCAACAATAATAATAAAGAATCAGTTCTCAACTTTAACCTATTGATTTAAACGAACTGCTATCTATTTGAAAGTATTATGGAAGTTAGAGATGAAACAAATAGAGTAATGTGTGATAGAAGGAGAAACTTTTTTTTACTAATATAATTTGTATGTAATCAACTGTATCAGAATATTCCCGTCACTTAAACGTTTCATCTTCTGCAATTGGCTGAACGACTACATACGGGAAACGATTATCTATCGATAATTCCAGCTATCAAACCTGTTCTGTCCAGTCCATTCGTTGTTTAGATTTCGGAAAGCCTTTTAATGATCAATTACAGGAAAAAAAGCCGGAAATATTCTATTCTGCTTTTGAGATCGAAAAAATCAACAGCCATAAATATTTTATGTATATCAGAATAAGCCAAAATGCTTTCAGTAACCTTCTTCGATGCTTTTCTTTTTTGAAATATCAGCCTGGTTCTATGACAATTTCATCCATGCTAATATGACAAAAAGCTTTACTTCTAACTTTGTAAGAAGAAATTTTCTTTCTAAAATTCAAAAAATGAATGAAAAAGCACTGGAACAATATTAATTGAACGAGATAATTATCAGTGTTTCAAAGTGGAAGTAAAAAGAATCACATTTTAACCAAGATCTATCAAAAAAATGCATAAATTTGATTCATGACAAGAAATCCTTTCTTTTATTTCTTCCGAATTCCGATTCTTCATTCTGATCATAATCTTCTCTTTGCTCTTGAAAATATTGACTTTAGAATTGTATGAAATTACTAACTGTTCAAATACAATTCATAGCAATACTTATTGACAAAATGTGCTGTAATGAAATTTTAATTTAATTTTTCTGAAACTTAAAGTTTTTTTTCCCCGAATAATAATGAGATGATATGTATACATTAATGTGCAATTACCGTTTCAATAATGAGAAATGATAATAATCGATCTCTTTGAACCAAAAAAAAAGTGGAAATTTTTAAGTGAACAAAAGTACTTATTAAAGTATAAAATATCATGAAAAAAAAAAAACGAATATATTTGCCGAAATTGTTTACAAAAAAAAAAAAAGACTGAAGAGTGGTTTCTACACGAATATCTTTTGCAATGATTTAACAACCTTTTGAAATATTTCAAAAGCAATCAGTAAATTATGTCAAAAATTTGCTTCCGTTTTTCCCTTCTTTTTTTTCTGTAAGGACATTCCTATATGTAAAGTTATAATTGAAAATGATTGATGTTAAAATTATAATTTAACAAAATGCTTGAAATTTTATATCACAAAGAAAAAAAAATGGGAAATTTAAAATTCAACATTACAAGTACTCTTTTTTGATACCAAAAATAAAAGTTGCAAAGTGGAAGTGATATGATAAATTCTAAATTTCGGAATTTTTCAAACCTATTTTCAACCTATCGATTGATAGGTGAAATATATATACAAAATGGCGCTTATTTCTTAATTCAGTCTTGATTTCTTAATATATCTCACTGCATTGATTTAATCCAAACGTTTATTTTGCCCAAAAACATAATTAAAAGTTATTTTATGAATTCACAAAAATTAGCAATGTTTGTTGCCTAAATGATAACATTGCATTTTTCCATCAAACTGTCTCTGTTAACCTGTTTCAACTTGAATATACCTATGTTCTAAAGTACTTACAGTATTTCTTGATCATTCACTTAAATTCACATTTGACATTTTCATTCATTTCGCATTTGATATATTGCATGTACGGTTTTTAATGGATACATCTGATAAGTTGCAAGGAATTGGAATTAAAGTTTGGATAGCAAAGTTGTATCTAATTACGTAATTAATACTTCTATATTAGTTTAATACCTATATTCCAATGTAGATACTTGTAGATATTTCGAACAAAAAGGAAGTATGTATATTGGTTGATCCGAATCTTAAAATGTTAATAAACTGGAATAATCAGTTGACTATCAAGAATTCAAAAAAGAAAAAAGAAAAGGGATGTAATTTGATTGAAGAAATTTGAATGAAAACAAAGCGATAAGATCGGAAGCAATTGCTTAAATGCTGATTGTTTCAGTTTTCGGTATGTATTTAAATTTGAAAGTTATCCGGCCAGACTTTGTGATATGTACGAGCTCAAATATGCTTTTACGGTCGGATGAAAGGATATAAATTAAAAAGGTTGTTCGTTATTCAGGTTGGTCGATAAAACCTCAGAAACATCATTGAATCGTTATTTGAAATTATTGTATTTTATGTTTGCCGGTGACACTTCTCTAAAATTTGAATATTGGATACACTTCACGATCTGCCTGTTGCAGTAGACCGTGGACCGCGATGTTATAGCATAAGGATAGCATAAATCAGTTCAAATCGGACAAGAAGAGACAAGTCGGCAAGAAACAAGCAGATGATGCCGGGGACCGGGAGCGGCATAGCTCCTTTGAACTGAGATTTCACTTCTGAATTTTCAATTTTCCACTCATCGATAAGAACAAAGAACGAGCTGAGCAAATGGTCTTCGGAACCTTATCGATTGCTAATAAGAGGGTAACATTTTATCTTTTAATCTTACCATATTAATGAATATGGTAAGATTGATCATTTCACCGATAGCTAATTGGACTGGCTAATGAATAAATGATACTTCAAAAAAATATGTTAAAGTTTGGTCTGAATAAATAGAAAATGAAACAGTAAAATGGTATAATAAATGGAAATGAATGATAATGGAATAATTACCTGTAATTACGAATGATTTCACGCTCATCTCTTCCACAGTACTGACCAAAATGATCTTTACTTTCATATGATAAGCTGCATATCACTTACGTGTTACCTGAAATATAGTAAGGCAAATAAATAAACGGTAATTCTGAAAACTTCTACGCCACAAAAAAATCTGCAAATTTAACCGAAATTTGCTTGATATGAACGATTCATATGTCATCATCATTATCATACAAAAGTAATTATGAAAAGGTTGTGGATAGAGAAACCAGTCAAGCAATATTTGACGGAGGAACTTTTTTTTAAAATTTCAAAATTTAAAAGTGAAACCTTTGAGTTAAGTTGATGTATTCATCGAATACTTTAATTTAATCCATTTAAAGTATTTCTTTTTAGTAATTAACAGCATTATTTTAAATCTTTTTTCTAAATTTAACAAAATAGTTGATTGATTTTTCCTACCAATTTCAATGCAAAATTACTCCTTGAACTATTCCGAACAATTTTTTGAAATCAACAAGGTAGTTCATGTAGCCAATCACTTGTTGATAAAAATTCAAACAAAGTTTCCTATTTTATTAAAATTAATTGCCATCATAACATTATTATTTTGTCAAAATTATATCAGCTAAATCTTATCTCTAATATCATTCCAATTATGCCTCCAAATTCCATCCTTAACACTATCATCTACTTGCCTTTGTTTTTTTTCTTTTCATTATCTCGTCTATCTGTGGAAATATTGATCCCAGGGAAATCATTTTTGATTACACATAGGCAAAATAATTCTTTCGCTTTATTGAGCTTAACCGTATTATGATTACTGTTTTGAGTTTTATCATAATGAAAATATCTTGAAGTATATTATTTCTTATCAATCAGTAAGCACTTTTGTTAATTCGAAAGAATAATTTTAATTAAAAGTTGAATTACCCATAAAAAGAGACACTTCTGAATGGATTTCTGGAAATTTTGCAATTATCGGATAAATCATTTAGCCAATATTTTCATGGTTTAATGTTTTCGTAGTCTTTGTTGAAACTGTTGGACTTGAAATCTGTCAGTATTTCAAAAAGGTCAATAAATAAAATGAAGCATCTAATTGATAAAAAAATATTTTTTTTACAAAGCTGTTAATTTCAAAGTTGCTTCCTGTAAATTTAAAAAGAAAGTAAAATTGAAAAGCAACTGCAACAATGTGAATTTCATACACTCAAATGAATAAGCTTTCTTCTCAACCCTTGGTCATTTGTTCGAGCATTAAATGGTCATTACCTGTATCAGTATTACTTAACAGTAAATGATAGCAATCATTCTAATCGAATCTTTTTCTTCAATTTTATTCTATTGGACGTTATGCATCATGAGATAGACTATTACTGATTGATAATTTTTTCACTATCACTTTTACGCCAAATATGAGAAGCTTTTACTTTATTCATATTCCAGGGCTGGGCACTTTATAAACTATTTTATGCTTCTAACAAGCAAAAATAAATAAATAAAAAAGTAAACGAACTTGTCGTACTATTAAGAAATTCAAATAATTGCAAAAAATTTTAAATTTTTTATCACTTTAAAGTAATTTATGAAGTTAACTTTTAGACGTTACGAAAATAATGGAGGATATATCACGTACCGTGAAGTACGTGGAATTGTATTTTGAAATCTACTGTAATAAGTATTATGTCAACAATACGATCAGCCAATATTTTATGATAGAGAGGATTTTTTGACTGGAATCCATTTTTCCTGTACTTCTGATTCACCATGGATACCTGAAGAAGTTTAATTATAAATTTAATTACAAAAATTTCGATAAGATTTGAGTATACGACTCAGGCAGTAAGGTTTTAAACCATTGCAAGCAACAGAAATATGCAATACTTGGAAGTTATCCTAAATCATATTACTGTAGTTACTCTGTTTTACGAAATGTTTGTATGCCAAATAATATTTCATTCCTAAACTTTTTATTATTACTTAATATTTTTAGATACTTTTTACTCTTCTATCCTTTTTATCTTTTCACGAAATTAATTTCATAAAATCTCAAAATTGAACATTTTCATTAATAATTTAATTCACTCTTTGTATATCCACCCATAATTGTAAAACACTGTAAAATGATAAATGAGTGATATTTAATTCATACTTGGAAATGAAATTTGAAATACAATTTTGTTTCGCAAAGGTTACTTTAAAAGTTAAAATAGAGCTTTTGCATTTTGTAGGATTTAATTTAAGAAAAAAAAGAGGGAAGGAACTATTCAATTATTCCTAAAATTAGATAAGACTATTTAGACCTTAATTTAGGCCTTTTTTTCCTCCCCTAAATCGCATTTCATCTCTATTAATCTTTAGTGGTGCAATGCTTTTGAAGATGAAAACTGCATCTTGTTTCACTCTCACACTTTTCAGTTTTGAGCTAAATTGAAAGAGCAATAATTCAATGACTTGTTGGAAATAAATAATCTATTCCGCCTTTGATGTTGCCTCTAAATCTGTTTCTGGATAGCTTCTGGATTCCGTCACTCATCTCTCCATCAAAATATTTGTAGTATTTCCCTCCCATCCTACCAGCTATCTTGCTAATTATCAACTTCCTTTTATATCTTTAATGAGACTCATCGATAGATGACAACTGCGCTTACTTAAAAATTTGAGCAAAACACATTGCTTATTATAACATTTGACTTACAATCTCAATCTTTCATTTGGATTCCGTCATTCATGCAAATGTTTGATACTTCTAAATTGCTTATTTGTTTGATACTTCCCAAACATACGGTAATCAAGTAAACATTCACTAAGCATACTGAATGAATGACTTATTAAGGAATTAAAAATTCGCAATTTTTTACAGTAGATAGATCCGATGATAATGTATGATACGATCATGATGATTGTATTGTTATCCTATTACTGCAATGCAATATTTTTTTTTTGGCTCAAGGAAAAAATCAAGGATAAGCTTGACTCTTTGTAATGCTTTATAAATTCCTAAACCTTCAGAATACATATCAGTTATACGTCATTATCACAATTCTTACTTTCATTTGTTTGAATTTGATAATGATTAAATTCGTTTATTAGTCGAAAAATTGCTCGGTTTATCACAAAACAACTTATTTAAAAGAAAAAATTTTGTTTTGTCTTTTTTCTTCAAGAAAACTGCTTAACTTAATTGCAAATGAATGACACAGTATAAAATATGATTATTGTGATTGTCACTCGCTTGGAATCATTTGTCTGGAATTATAAAAATTTTTAATTCCAAAAGATCCTTGAAAAATTAAAAAGCACAAATAAAGTTAGCATGAATTTAGCATAATAACAATTATACTATTTCTAATGGTCATAAAAATTTAAATAATTTAATTTAAAATTAAAATCTTAAATTAATTAGCAAAATTTGTTTTGATCTCAGAAACAAACAAACAAATGCCTTAGTTTTGTTTAGGCCATTCTACTGTCTCGCAAATGAGTTCAAATAAGCATAAAGATAAAAGAAATAGCGCAAAATTACGGCCATTCGGAAAAAGCAAAGGAAAAAGAAAAAAAAAATGAAAAGCGAAATAATAATAGCACAAAAAGTAAGAGAACTTTGTGTTTGTTTATCATTATAATAATTGCATTTCCCGCACCTCCGTTATTCCCGATCTTTTACTACTGGTACTTTTTCCAACTGTTTAACCAGGATGAGAAACAGCAAACTTTAACATTTTTAAGTTTTCAACTTTTGTTTTTTTATAATTTCAGCGGTCCACTTTATTATACGTATTTTTTCCGTTGCTTTTAATTCAAGTAAACTTGCATTGATATCTCATTTGAATGTATTTAATTAAATTTAAGTTTTACGAACAAAAAAGCTTTCTTGAACAATGAATTAACATTTTTTCAATTACGATTTTGCTATTATTCCATTATCTTTCAGCAGGAAAAACAAGCAAAAATTATTATTGAATTAAATGAAAATAATCAACTAATTTAGAAAATTAAACTTCATTTCATTTGGTTCTTTTTTATTAGCTTACAACAAATTTTTTCCATTTTTCATTACCCTTTGCAAATTTGCGCAAATCACGCAAATCTAAGCCTATTATTGTCATTGATGAGAAAATGAGAACCTTATGAAGATAATTTATATCGTAGCCGAAAATATTTCTCACTTAAAAATATGGCAGTAATCGATTACAAAAAATGTTTTTGCTAAGTGATAATTTCGTTTCATATATATCTTTCGATCGTTTTCGATCTTATCAAAAAGTTTGAACTATTCATTTGAGTTCATCTATTAGCATAAACAGTTGTGTCATTCATCTTATCATTAGTCTTTAAGTGTCGCAAACTTTAATTTTACAATAAGTAACTTTCAAGACAAAATGATAAGGAAAGATGTAATGGTTCATTCGAAATTCTTCCGAAGCAATAATCTCCGAAATGGATCGATTTATTTCCATTTTTTGATTTTTATGGATTACAACCAAACAGGATTTACTGATTTGAAATTGTAAATCTTGTTTAATTGGAATTCATTTTTTTAAAAAAAAAATGATTTTTATTGACTTTACACCAGTCTAAGGAATAAAAAAATTGTCATATCAGCATGCATTATCAGAATTTACTGACCGCTTACTATAAGAATGAAATCAGACAGAAAATGATAGATGAACTTTGACACCTTCATTCAGCTGTTGTACAATTTATTAATTACTTTAATTTCTCAACTTTTTTTAGTAAGCTCTTAATGTACAATTTTCAGCATGCTTTAGTATTGTCAACGTTTTACAAATTTGCATCCATAAAGTAAATCATTCATTAAAAGTGTCTAATTTCAACAAAATTAAACTTAACGAAATTGACGAAAAATTAAATTTTCAAATGCAATTATAGAAGTAAGCTCGAAGATGAATAAAACTGCTCAAAAGTCATTCCTAAAAATTAAAACAAACATGGATAGTTAAAATCAAAGGGAATCGTAAAGATATTAAAATGAAAGAAAATCACAAAAATAAATAAATTATTGAAATATTTCGCCAAAATTAATCATTTTCCTGAAAAAACAAGAAATTGAAAGACGTGTTACGTGAAATCTTACGGAAACGTGAAACTTTTCGTGAAGTTACTTCACTATTCCAGTAAAATAATACATGCAATAATTACGTACCAAAACAAACAAAATAAAATCAGAATTGAAATGGAAAATTCTTAAAATAAGGAAAAATGAGAGATAATTGGTTGAAAAGATGCATTATGCCTTTGTAAATACTGCAATTAACAATTAGCTAATCTGAAAATGAATTATCAGTTCACTACCATCATTGAATCGAAATTTTACATATACTGTAATCTCGTTGACTACAAAATTTCACGCAACACTTACAAAACTGTTTGAAATTTCAATGAACGGAATGAGTCACAAAATTGTTATATCATATTTAATCAAAACTAATTCATTATTCACAATACAATTACAAAAAAGAGTCAAGAAGATTGTATCTATCTATGATAATTTCAATTTCTGATTCAATATCTTTGAAATATTTGTAGTTTCCGGCTAATGACTGTTTTCAAGTTCTAAGTTGCTCAAATTAATCAGAAAATCAATTCTTGAACTTGGATCGATATTTGACAAGATTCAGAAGTTTAGGCCAAGCCGACAAGCCAAACTCCTTGTTTAACGATTATTAATTTCGTAGTATCGTGAAAATTTTTCATTTTCGTAGAAAAAGAATTCAAATGAAATCAGTTTTTGTTTAACCTTACAACGAACGCTTAATTATTTACAGTTTCTCAATGAACAACATGATATGATGTGTGATATGATAACGATGTGATATGACAATTGTTTATTATTCATGGTGACACTTCTTATAAGCAACGTGAATGAGATGTTCGATATGCTATTGAGAAAAAATCAGACATATAGTACTCATTAATTCTCAAACTAAAATGGATAATTTACCTAATTATTAGCTTAAAATTATATTAACTACTTTTCATTGCAATAATTCTAAATAAATCAATATCGATTATTGAGTACTTGCAATTACTTGCTAATCATGGGAAGAGTTAATTCAAAATGTGGAAAAAAAAATATTTAAAATAGAGAGGAACTGTTCATATCATAACACAATACTACCTTTCTAATAATATATAATTTAAATATTCCAAATCCAATCATGATAAAAACCTTTCCACAAAACTTTCAAATGCAGTTATTTTGATTGATTATGACTCTTATTGTAATAATTTATATATCATTCACTATTAATGCGGAACAACTGATTTATGTATTTGAATTTTTTTTTTTTAAATTCGTTGTTAGATTTGTATTGGTGCTTAACCTACACAACTATCACTACCCTTCCTCATTCTCCTTTCATCTATCCTTCTTCCTTTATTTACAGAAAGTTCAAAATTTGCCAATGTTTGAATTAACTCCTTAATTTCAATTATATAAAAATCGAAAGAAAAAAAGTTTCATTTCAATTTATTCACAACATGAAATAATATTTATATTTCAAAAAATGATTAATTAAAACTTCATCGTTTTTTTTTTTTAAAAGTAGTACTGATTCCTTCCTTTTATTTACTCAGTTTTTTTTTCACCTTATCAAATTGTTTCCAATTGTCAACCACTGATTGCATACACTTCGAATGTAACATTTTTTTTTAAGTGAACAGGTAAATTATTATAATTTAAACAATTTCATTGATAAAATTTTATCGAAATTTCCTTATTGTTAATATATTTATTGAAAATGCAATTTATTTTTAAATGTTAAATTCAATTGTAATTTGATATTAAATTAATTTTAGAATTCCTACAAATAATATGTAAGCCACAAAGTGAAATGCTAAGTTATCGTTGATAATAATATGAATAATTTGGCCAATTTTAAATAACTGTCAGCGTTTATTGTTTTAATTAATTAGTTGTAAGGTGAGATAAACTTTCTTTTCAAGTTGATAAATCATATCGGCAAAAAGTAGTTTTGGTATTTATCAAAGATATGGATTTCCTTCTATTTGGACATTAGAATTGATTTTCATTTTCAATGATCACAACGATGAGTAGGAATGGGATGAATTTATCAGTAGAACTATTAAGAAGAAAATTGCTTTAATCTGTAATAAAGTGACCTTTTCAATACTGTCCGTTACTACAGTCTTACAAAATACGTAAGATACTGAAACTGAAACTAGTAATGGGATCTTTATTAAATTTGAATAAAAATAAGCTCAAGATAGGGAGTTGGAATTAGAAAATTTTTAATTTCCTCAATCAACTTATCCGCAAGATTAAATACTGTATGCAAAAATGATGCTCCTAACTTTACAAACTTTAGAATTACTCTATTTACTATTCTTGTTTATAAATTACTTTGGATTGGACGATTGAATATGTCGAAATTAATTTTTAAAATAATATTTCAGTTAAAATCTGGTACTGTAGATAATTGATTGCTAAGAACATTGTCGAAGATTCCTTCTAGATTTAGTAAATTGATTAAATGTAATTTCTTAAATAAGTCAAAAATATTCCAGTAAAATTTACCAATCTGTTTTATAAACTTACAAAAAAAAGAAAAAAAAAGAAAAGAAAAAATGTGTCGTATATTTTCAATAATTGTATCAAAGAAGTGCCATTGATCTTCGAGATGGGATTCCATTTGAATGAAATGAGATAATCAATAATTTATCGACGTATATGTCACGTAGATTCAATTAAGTGAACTGAATGCACTTCTCATACGTGTTATACGTGAATTCGACAAAAAATAATCACACGTTTTTACTTTTCACGATTTTTCAAATATTTTCAACTGATATAGAGGTTAAATAATGGATAAAATAGTGTAACGATACAGTTAACATAGCTGTATCATTGCCTTCTTCTTACAGCAAAACATTTACCGAAGTTAGATGATTTATGTATATGTCATTGCTATCATATCACTTAATCAGGTCAAACGTGACTTTTTGACTTAAAGAATCGGTAAAAACCTGAATTACTTTTAGAGATTGATGCTTGGCATAATAAAGGATCTACATCTAATTTGCTGACAGAGAATCTTTGGTATTTGAATACGATGAACATCCTGTCATTTGTAATACTTTTTATGGCATTCGAAATAAATTAAGTATTATTTCAGAGAATTTAATTATGAAAATATTCATAACCTTCTATGTTTGAGTTTCCAGTTAATTAAAAATTTACTTTGTTCTTGACATCATTTTGATATTAATTAACAGCTTTCTGCATAGTAATCAATTCAAATTAACGATGATAGCATCCAGGTAAAAAGGAATTTGAAAAAATCGGTGAGATGATGACATTTCAAGTCTATTCATCCACAGGCATTCTGTCCAATCACACATTTGCCTTGTGCTGGACCAAAATCACTTTTGTTTAAAATAAATGATTGTAGATATTTTTGTTTGATGCAAAAAACTTAATCATTCAAATCCTCGAATTCCCCGCACTTCCATTCCTCTCAGTTTTATATTTTTGTTATGTTTGAAATATTTCCACAATTTTCACATCTTTACACCTTTTTGCTCTATCATAAATGGATTTATTAGTGAATTTTTATCTGCTTATGTTCAATTAACAACATCACCAATGGATTAAATAAGTTAATTAAAAAACTGGAATGTCTTTGGAACATTTAATTAAATTAGTTAATTAAACTGTTGAAATGTATTAAGAATGTTAGGTTGAATTTGTTAATCAAAAGTTTGAAACAGATTAGATTTGACATCTTCCTAAAGCATTGCAATGTTTTAATTAGCTACAACTATGCTCAATTTGAAGAAGCGAGTAATCAAATCAAATGAAATTCTGAATTTTAAAGTTGCTTCCACCCATTTTTTCTTCTTTGTTCAATTTATTCATTGCATAATATGAAAATATAATTTGTGAACTAATTTTCCTTTTTTTGCGTAAAATTTTGGCCATGAAATTAATTTTTTTTTTTTATTTAAAACCGAAATAGTTTTGTTGTTTATTTGGTTGCCGATGTCCGCCTGCACTTCTATATATCTTCCATATTCTATGTATCTTTTGTCAAATTTAGATGGAGAGGTACGACATATTCTTGTCGTCTTCGAAATTTCTTTTGATCATAAGCGACAAACATGGCGTTCCCCATCATCGTCAACATCTCAAAGGTGGTCTCCGACCTATTCTATCTTAACCAGCTCTATCAGTGTGTGATTTTTTGAGATATATAATAAATATGCAACCAAATAATACTAGATAGTTAATTTGTTCCAATTAATCAGGCTTTGCAAAATGGTGATATTAGGATGGAAGTGTTGTAACAGGTTGACAAAATCAGATCCTATATATGATCAAATGGGAATGAAAGCGATAGTGGTAGTAGTAGTAGTAGAAGTAGTAGTAGCTATCAACGTCAATACACTATTCCCATTTGTTATCGCATCTTAACAGCTCATAAAAACATCAATTATTATTCCCATTCTCGTCAACCATCCCATCACTGTCACCATCATACGCGAACCTCATTTTGCCCACATTGTCAAAAGCAAAAAAAAAACGAGTCATCAAAGAAAAAAAAAAGCAAATTTTATCAAATATAATATATATAAATTGGTCATCGCATCGACGTTCTTTAAAAAAAAAGAAAAATTAGAACGCAAAATTTGAAATTAAAACTTGGCACTGATGGCGTTTCGAATACTTACAAAGTTGCTGCACAAAATAATAAAATAATAAGCGTAATAAAAGATGATCAATCACTATCAAGTAAGCATTAGCTAAAGTTTGACTAACAAAACTGAAGCGTAGGATAACGATACTCATTAAATAATTAATTCAAAAAAAATGAGTGCAACAGTTTTTGACCTAAATTAATATATCATTTATTACGATAGTAAGTTTAATTAATTCAGTTCACTACACATACTTACAATTTGTATCACATTTATCAGCAATTATCTATCTATGTGTGTAAGTTTGGTATTACTAAATTTTCTCAAATTTGAATATTCCGGTGTAAGTGATGATGACTGGAAATTTCAGCAATCAATGAGCCATCCTTAACATTAATGATAAATGCAAGTGAACTGATTTTTCCTCTGAGGTTTTTTTCAAAAATTTTGAAAATTTTCCAACAATCTTAGAGCAATCATTTTCAAGCATCCTAAAATAATCGCTAAAAGTACTTTCCATGTATTTAAGTGTTAAATAAATCTTTCAAAAAAGTTTGGAAAAACAGATTCGGTATTCAGATCCTCAGGAAATTGTATTACAAATGCTTATTCAATTAAATTTCTAATTCGTAAGCAAATCACCTTCTAAAGAATATCAGTGTTAGATCACATTCCTATGCATAACTATTACTTTACAGTGTTTATCATGTTAGAGCTTATCACATTAAGCTCTATCATTAATCACATGAAAGTGGAAAATTTTCAGTTATATGGTTGACAAGTTTTTTTTTTCCACTGAAACATATTAATACCAAACTTTATTTACAACTTGAAATAATTTGCAATTATTAGGAAATGAGCACTACTTGTAAGATGGACGAGTAAATTAATTTACAAAGAAGAGAAGTCTGAAAATGTTGTGCTCAAAAATATTTGAAATGGAATATTCAAGATTTAATCAGTTTGTTACATTTGTCGTGTCATACAAAAAAAAAAAAGAAAAAAGTGACACAAAAACCGTATATTGGATTTTTTTCGCTTTCAAATTTCTCAGATATTTTATGAACTTTTGATTTTTTTCTTTTTTATGATACTAATTTAACAGCCAAAAAGTATTATTTTTCAAATTTCACTTGTAATTCTTCTGGCAATTGCTAGTTTGATAAACAAATTTCTCAAGCAACCTAAAACTTTTAATTATCACAACAATTTGATACCAACACTAACCATTTCAACTCTAGCTTTGAAACAATTGTTTGTTTGCTTCCTCTGAAATTCATCTTACCTCGGCTGTTGTTGTAGAAAGTTTAAATTTCAGATTTAAATTTTAAATTTTAATTTGACGTCATCCATTTTGAAATCAATCGACAATTCATTTTTCATTTAAAAAGATTTTAAAACTTTTTATCTCAAAAATGTAATTCTACAAAAAAAAAAAGTAAAAATAAGGGCATTCAAGTTATATTACATGAATTTTAAAGTAGTCGGGAAAAAAAAATATCTGCGTCTGTATGCCTGAGTGTCTGTCTGCACCGGATGGGTGCGTGCATATGTGTCGTATCATTCGGAAAAGGGAAATTTATCACAAACAACGGGTGTCGGCATTTTCTCTTTGATGTTCCTAAAGGTAGTATTACGGTAGCAAAGGCACACACACACACACACACACACCCATATACACCAGACGTTTACGTACCCACCGGGACAGCAAGAGCAGGAAAGTAGCAGCAACCGAACGTACAATTTTCACACTCGAACAGCAACACTTCCAGCAGCACTACTAGCTTTCATTATCGTTGTCATCATTATCACTACCATTATCATTATCATTATAATCATTTATCATCATTAACATCATTTCATACTAACATTGATCTAACTTAGAATAATATTGGAAGAATCGAAATATTCAAAGGCAAACTTCTCGATATATCATCACTACTGATTATTTTCGACTTTCATTGCTAATTTCATACAAGAAAACGGATGGCAACAGGACATTTCGTTGTGTCGTATCGAAACCGATAAACCGGAACGTTTTTTTTCTCTAAACTTTTTCAGTAATACTAAATATCGGAATGTTTTGCAACGAAAATTATATTGAACGATCGTGAAAAAGTAAGTGTTTTAGTTTGTTTATGAATCTGAAAATATTTATAAATTACCTTACTTTTCTTACTTTTCTGTTACTATGTAAATTACTTACTTTCTGTTTTTTCAGAAATTTATTTTTTCAAAGTTATATTTTTGCAATATAAAATCCCATTGTGAAGTAATTCATTGGATATCAATTAAGGTTGAGATTTAAGTACGTTTTAATAAGTGAAATTTTATGAATAAAGAAGAAAGAAAGATTGCATTTGAACTCAAAGAAAAGGAATTCCTATTTTTGAGTAAATTGTTCCAACAATAGCAATATTAGCAATAATGCGATTTAATATTAACAAATTGAAAACCAAAAAAACGACGAAGTTGTGGTAAGCGGGGTAGGGGAAGTTGTTAAATTTGATCAGATACTTCCTTGTCTCTTTCTCCTCTCATCAATACTATTTCTTCAATTGTGGTCCGAAAATCAGTGAGCTTGTACTTTTGAGATATGACAATTTATCAAAGAAAGGTAAGATTAATTGCTAACATGGTCTCATTGACACATCTTTGGACAGAATTTATTTAGATTCTTGAATTTGTAAGATTGATAACTTGTAAACAACCGAAGGTTTAATGGATGAAAATTTTACTACAAAAGATGAACACATTGTTTGCAACATGATAAAATTACCACTTGTTTTTTCTTACCCATCTCATTTTTTTTTCCAAAATGTTGACCTTGAAAAACAACTGTACATTCAGTTATCCGATGATGTTGGCAGGTGACAACAGATGTAAACAAGACACCTATCTGATACCCATCCATCGATTTTTGATTTTTATTCAAACAAAATAACTTATCATAGATTTATGATTTCCTTTTTTTTTCATGAAAAATTTGAGATTAAAATAATATTAAATCTCTAGGGAAAAATTTCCGATGTCACTAAATATGTCACCAATTGGAACTTTCATCAGCGGCACTATGCTAAGATTTTCTCAGTTATCAAAACTTTTTTCCTAAAAATGTTTTGCATTATATTAATTAGATTAGAAATATTATACAATATTACTTCAAAATAATTATATTTGACATTATGTATGCAAAATTAGAAACACATAATTGGCGGGACTAAATGATAATTGTATTTGTTCTGAATACCCTACCAGAAGTACAATTATTTTTGTAGTCGTTGAATACTAATATCGTCCAATTTAACAAGATATGATAAAGTTGTCAATAGGTACTTTTCACTGTAAGCCTTAAAACTTGGCATGCCAAGAGCTTAAGCTGCTAAAAATTAATCTAGTAGGATTAGAAGATAGATCTGATTTTTTGATAATGCAATCAAAATTGCATTATCGTAAGCAATTTCAACTTCGCTATATTTGAGGTGTAATAATTAAAATGTTTGTTTTTAAATCTATTGGTCGGATGAAGTAAGAGAAGACTGACATCATTTAAAGCGTTGCACAGAGATGTTTCAATGGTTTCAACTATCAAATCTAAATTCAAAAGTGGCTAATCATTATTATAACTTCATTTTAATTTAATTCACATATCCAACATTTTACTATTGATTTAAATTAATAGCTAATATAATAAATAAAAATTAGCAGAGGAAAAGAAAAAGACTTATTTGTTAAAATTTGTTAAAACAATTATATTTAAATAAGCAAATTGAAAATATTTGAAATTTATAAAAGTTCAAACTTTAAAAGTTTATTTGAATGATATCGTGTGACGATTTACTACTAGTTTTCTTCCCCTTTTTTTTTTTTTTCAATGCGATCAAGACAGGGAAGACATTTTTTGAGGTATTGGTTCAATTTTCATCTATATCTTCCTTTCCTTTCTCCTAATTGCTTTTATGACATATAAATATGCCATATATCACAGTGTACCCCAATTTCTCATTTCCATCAATAACATAAA